ACAGTACCTACGCGCCCAACCAAATCTCAATCCGCGACAAATTTGCTGGTTGGACTACCTCGAGTCCAACTTCCACTACACTTTTACGTACAAAAAAGGCGCCTCCAACATCGTTGGCGCACTCACCCGCCCTACCGCCCAACTCCATGCCATCCTACTCGCCCAAACCAACCCGCTTTTAGCAGGCCTATTCACCTACGGATGCCGCACCGACCCGTTTTTCATGACCGGAAATTCACAGCATTTGGCAGAAGCTAAAGGAGTTAATTACGTAAAAACAGGCACCAACCGCATCTGGGTACCCGCGTACTCACTACTGAGGGAGCTGCTACTGCAGGAGGCACACGACGGAATTACCTCGGGACATTTTGGGGTAGAAAAAACGCGACAGCAACTGCAGCGGTATCACTACTGGCCGGAGCTGTTGACCGACGTGCAGCAACACGTGGGCTCGTGTCCGACGTGTCAGGTGATGAAGAGCTCGAGGAAGCGGAAGGCGGGTCAATTGCAGCCGGTACCACCACCCGAGCGCGCCTGGCAGCAGGTTACGATGGACTTTGCACAGAATTACCTTCGAATCCTGGGGGTAACGTTGCGGTGATGGTCATCGTTGACAGGTTGATGAAGATGGCACACTTCGCTGCATGCAAAAGGTCGATCTCAGCCGAGGAGATTGCTCGCCTGTTCATCGCAGCTGTTGTTTGCCTGCACGGGATACCAGCAGCGATTATCAGCGACAGGGATACGAAGTTCACCAGCAACTTCTGGAAGAACCTGAGGGAGCAGTTCGGGACCAGGCTACAGTTCAGTTCGTCGTACCACCCCGAGACCGACGGTCAAACGGAGCGGACGAATCGGACGATGGAGCAGTTGATTCGTGCCACGCGCGACGACCGTACAACTTGGGAGCAGCAGCTGCCGCTGATCGAGTTCGCGTACAACAAAGCCACGTCAGCGATGACGCCGCACTCCCCCTTCGACCTGAACTACGGGCAAAATCCTACAGTGCCCATGACGCCGAGTACGGACAACCCAACACCACGTGCACAGCAATTCGCCGAAATTCAGCAAGCTGCCCACACCAGAGCCGCAAAAGCAATTAAAAAAGCAAACGTCATCGCTAAGCGCAACGCTGACCGCCACCGCCGCCCAGTCACATACCAGTAAGGGGATTACGTACTGCTCGACATGCAAAATCTGCGACTGCCCGACGTACCGAAACTTCGACCGCGCTACTGTTGCCCATTCCAAATCAGCCACATGATCACGCCAGTAACCGCGCCCCTGCTTTTACCGGCCGACTGGTACATCAGCCCTTCGTTCCACGTCAGCCTACTTCACCCATACATCCCAACCACCTGCCAACTGCCCCGTCACCGCTCGCATTCCATGACTCGCCCTGCATCGGAGCCGATCATCGAGCCCGAAAAAATCCTGAGCCGTCGGATTCGCCACCCCACGGGAATCAGGAGGATTGAATTCCTCGTTCGCTGGAAGGACCGCACGCCAACTGAGGATAGCTGGGTGCCCCTGGCCAACATCGAAAACCACCCTGCCCTGCAAGTGTACCTGAGGAGCCGGGGATTCCGCGATACACACGCACTCGCGTAGCGGAGAGGGCTTTTTGAAGGGGGGGGGGGGGGGGGGGGGGGGGGGGGGGTGGGGGGGGGTGGGTAGTGTAAGGAATTTTATCGGCATTCCTTACGAAGCCCAACTACATCGCGTACAGCAACAGCCGTTGTTCGCCCGTTACTGCTAACGGGGCTTCGCCAACTTCGCGCGCACTGTTTTGCCAAACCTCGCACCGCTGGCCCGGCCGTGTCGGCCTACGCTTCGGGACAAGCCCAAGCCTCGCTGCCAGTGTAGCACTAGCTAGCTCGCACGCACTGCGTTACCGTTTGCATGTTTCGCGTATAAATGTTCGCTCATGCCTTCGCTCACATCTTTGTACTCGTTTTGACACCTTACTGCAATTCTCGCTACTTAGATTCATTTCACCCGTAATAGTTGAGCATTAGTTTTTCCTGCTATCGTAGTATAGATCCTGGAGTGAAGGCACGTGGTGTAAATCACCTGTATCCAGTTTGTTAGAACCACCACAAAGCTGAACGAGCCAAGCAGATTTAGGGCGCATTTTTTTTTCACCTTTCATCGTTCGGACGGAAGCCCCGTCCGAACTTCTGTAGGTAACTAGTTGTTCGTTTAGATGTTCGTAAGACCCCCTGCGACGTCGGTACTGTCCGGACACAATCTGACACTTCTCTGCCAAAAAGTGGTCTGGACTAACCTGCTGACTCCGTCCAAACGGCATTTCGGACGGTCCGTTTTATCTGCGCTGTGATTCGGCCACGAATTGAATGATTTTCCAACCAATAGGATGTCGTCAAATATTGGTGGCGAAATCTCTAAGTGCTATACGATTTCTGTAATGCGTGTTATGTTTAGTGGCGGATTCTACATTTTCGATAGGGGAAAAAGTTGCACAATTGTGGTCCGGACGCCCTATCGTCCGGACCTGCTTCTCAAACGTCTGGACGGAGCTCCGTCCGGCCAGTTTGGAGGCTCCGTCCGGACATTTGACGAAAATGGAAAAAGTTACGCGCCCTTACAGCTGAAGAAATGGCGTGTGGAAGCTGTGTGTTGACCAAGCAGCGTACAAATGGCCATTGGACCGCAGGGTTCAATTTTCATTTTCCACGCCTCTCGAGAAAGTCCCGACGAGGGCACCCTTGTTCGTATCTGCAAACAGTCGGTTGTCGGTGCGTACGAAGCTTCTATCCCCTTTGCACGAAGGAGGTGTTGATCAACTGAAAGCTTCTTTCGAAAGCCTGAGCTTTTTGAAAAGCGATTTGAGAGACAACCCCAAGACAGATTGCTAGAAAAAGGACTTCACGTCGAAAAATATTGAATCAGCGTTCACAGGATTCAGAAGCAAAATGTAGTTGGTTGCAAGGTTCTCTCCTATCAGGTCGGGAGGAAAATTATAGAAAATGAAGATTTGCAGCCGGGGAAATGAAGACGGATCGAAAATCATGCCCATGCCCAACAAAGAACACACCTCCAATCAAACCCACAGCCTGTCAGCCAGCTTCTTCTGCTCCTCCAAGCAAGCCTCCGCAGAAGCAATACCCGAAGGGAAACTATATGGCAGTCATAATTAAGCCCAGTTTATCACGTTTGGTCACAGGGGCATCACGAACAGTCGCAGTACAGCAGACTTGTATCGCGGGTGATCACAGTACTATCACGGATGGTCACACATCGCCCCAAAAAGCTATCACGTTTGGTCATTTGTTGAAACCTTGATAGAAAGTTGAAACTACTCAGGTCACTGTAGGGATTCAAGGAACGTTTTCTCGCGCGCAGTTTTGTCCGTAGTATTACGAAATAGTTTCGCGACAGCTCTTGGTAACTCGTTAATAACATATGCAATTTTTTGTTCATATTCAACTGTACACTGCTCGATTGATTCATAATGTTCCTAATAATATCGCTTTTGTACGGGTGAAAAGTGAAGGGTAATTTCTCTTCCCAAAACCTGAAACCCGTTCGAATGGGACTTCATTCGGGATGCATCAACCCTAACCACCTTGTCGCATGGTGTTTAGGGTTGAGGCCTCCCGAAGAACGTGCCATCCTATCGGGGTTTATATTTTTTCCTTCAGACCCCTAAATTTCAGGCTAGAATCATGCGCGAGGAAACAAGCAAGAAATATTGAGATTCCCAAAAATCTCTACAGTTTCTTTTGTGGTTTCAATTTTATTCCAACGTTTCATCGAGTGACCAAACGTGATAGCTATTTGGGGCGCGATGTTCCTATCCGTGATAGCACTGTGAATACCCGCGATTGAAATCTACTGTACCGTGACTGTTTGTGATACCTGTTTGACTAAATGTAATAAAACGGGAAACATTGTGACTGATTGTATAATGTCCCTAGGCATCACTTGCACAACACACCCAGTCTCCCCAGTGCAATTGCGGTAGAGCACACGCCGCGCCGCGTCGTAACCACACGCCCAGCTTCGTTGTCAGCCGTTTGTTGACCGTGCCTGCCAGTATGTTGCCAGCAATCGGGCTCTCCGCGACGTGGCTCTGCGATGAACTTATCACCGCTGGACTGGAACGAACGGACAACAAACCAATCCGTTTTCCCCAATGTCCCTTGCGCCAAATCTCCGCCAGATGCTCGCAAGCGCGAATCACATTTCCGCGTCAATCTTCCGCTCGAAGCCAGAAACTGTTTCGACCGCTTGGACCACCGCTAATTAACCCACATCACCGATCTTCCTGACGCGGCTCGCCGCCTCCAGGGCAGAACCTTCCCACCGCGACAGTGGAGTAGAGGGGTGGGTGGGAGTGCTCCGCCACACAAAGCGCTCTGGTGACTTGAACTTTCCGCCCAAGAAATGCTTGACACCAGCACCAGGTCCCCCCCTCCCCCTTCTTTCCGCCTTTCCTCCTGCAAGAATCTTTCCCCGACCCCCTCCGCCCATCCCAGTGCCGATTCCAAGCGAACTTCCCTCCCCTTACTCCCCCTCCTGACCGGCAGAATAAATCTCCCCTCGTCACCAGTCTACATGACAGTCGTGTCGTCGAGCTTCCTCACCGCCCATCCCTACCCCGTCCCCTCTCACCAGATTATCGTTGCGCTGGCTCTACATAGACAGAGCTCAAAGCATTCACCTCAAAGTGTCAGAAGCAAGCAAGCAGCACGAGCTGACAGGAGGAGCGCAGCAGCTCTCGTCCCGTACCGTTGTGGCGCTCGTCTTCGTCAACCCCCCACCGCCATCCGAAACCGCACGATTTGCTACATCTCCCTGAGCCTTTTACCGACCTCGCCTATTCGTTCTGCTTTCTCTCAACGCGACTCCCCACGACCTCCACAGCCACCACGACTCCAAGACTTCAAGGCGCTTATTAATCGTCTCCCTTACTTCGCCTCGCCTCCGCCATCCTTCTATTCCATCCTCCCACGCGCCATAGTAACTCCTCGAGAATGGGCGTTTCCAGATATCACAGGCGGTTCCACATGCTCGTGCCACTTGTCATGCTCTGGTTGGTCGTCTGCGCGCTGCCGTCCGCGCGTAGCGATGACGATGACGATGACGACGAGGGTGATGACGCGGTAACCGGTGCATGCGAGGTGTCGTCGCTCGCCGGTTACAAATACGCCGTCGACCTCAGCGGCAGCGGGTAAGTTAGCAGCAGACGGCCAATGGGCAAGTCAACAACAGCCAGCCTTCAGCAAGTAATTTCTCAGCTGTTAACTTCGGTGGCGCGATTCAAGCACTGCTTCTTAACCCTTCCGCACTGTTGCTTTCCAATGCCCCCTCTTCCACATCCCCCTCTCCGTCGCTTCCCTCTTTCCCCCGGACGTTAACCAACCGTTCCACCTCACCCCCTCCCCCCACTCGATCCCTTCGGCGCTCCATTCTCTATCCCCCCTCTCCCAACCAACAGTCTCTTGCACTGGGCTCCTAAAGGCACTAGCGAAATGGACTTCGCGGTCGAGGTGCCTCAACGTCGTCTCTCCCCGCTCACACCTTGCGACGCTCCCTTCTCCATTCCTCCCCTCCTCCCCCCCCTCCCCGCTTTCCCTCCCAACCTGCAGTCTCTACCTTCACTGGGCTCCTAAGGGCACTACTGAGATGGACTTTGCGATCGAGGCGCGGCCCGGAAGCAGAGCGGAGTCCACGTGGGTGTCCGTTGGGTGGTCATCTGGACGGATGGCTCCCGCCGACGCGGTCATGGGGAACCTTCCTGGAAACAAGGTCGCGGCGTACTCGATACAAGGCTACGACATGGGGTCCGTCGTACCGACGACGGCGTTTTCGGTGGCGGCGGCGGAGGTTCTGACCAGCAATGGCGGCAGCACGGTTTCCAAGTTCACGCGCACGATCGGCGACGGGGATTTCCCCGTCGCGCCCGACGCGAACACGCTTATCTGGGCGTTTTCCGAAAGTGTCTCGCAGGGGCTCGATTACCACGGCGGGAACTTGTAAGTGCGCGAAGGTTGCAGTATACGCGTTATTAGCATCCATGTCCCGCGAGATAGCCTCCTGTGGGGAGTCCTTATCAAGTTCTTGTTTGTATTATATGGGCGAATCTCGTCCCTCACTCTGCCTGCCATTCTTCCCGTCGTCCCGTCGTCACCCCGTCCCGTTCTCGCAGCGGCATCGTGAACATCGACTTCACCTGCGCTAGCGGCGCCGCGCCCGCGACGGGTGCACCAGACTCCATCACCGGCGGCGGCGGCAGCAGCTCGGGTTCCAGCAGCGGCGGCGGCGGCGGCGGCGGCGGCGCTTCGTGCCCGGCTTCCTCGCTGGCGGGATTCGACTATCAGGCGGAACTCACCCCAGGGTACGCGCAAACTCCCATCGTCTTCCTTCGGTCGTCGTCCACAGCCTCGGTCTCGCATTTTCCCCTCCCCCTTTCCCCCGCCAACAGCCTGCTCCTCCATTGGAAGCAAGCGTCCGCCGCGCCCCTCTTCCATCGACCCATTTGCCCGTTTTCCGCTTTCCCCGGCTATCTCTCTCTCTCCCCCGCTTCCCCCCGCTCCGCTCCCCCTCCCCGCCAACAGTCTGCTCCTCCACTGGAAGCCAGCGTCCGCCACGTCGCTCGACATGGCGCTCGAGGCCACCGCATCCGGCGGCGCCGCGGGCTCGTGGATCTCCGTGGCCTGGACGGGCGACGGCCGGATGGTCCCGTCGGACGCGGTCATCGGGAACATGCCGGGCGGCGCGGCCGGCGCGTACGCGATCTCGGGATACGATATGGGATCCATCGCGAAGACGACGACGTTTTCCGTCGGCGCGGCGGCGACGGAGACGTCGAGCGGCGGAAGCGCGATCGTGAAGTTTACGCGGACGGAGGGGGAAGGTTCGATCCCGATGTCGCTTTCCGCGCCGAACGCGCTGATCTGGGCGTATTCCGGGAGCGGATCTCAATCGTTGGATTACCACGGCAATAACTTGTACGTGCAAGTCGGGGTTGGCTTTTTGTGTACTCGTTTGAAGGGCTTTTGCTGTGCAAAAATATATTGCGCTCTAATGTTGGATTTGTTTAGTTTCCATCTGTTTCCCCAACTCTCCTCTTTCCGCCTCACTAACCCTCAATTTCTCCTTTCGCCAATCTTCGTACCCTTTCCCCTATCTTTGCAGTGGTTCAAAAACCGTGAGCTTCAACTGTGGCGGCAGCAGCACCACTCCCACCACTCCTACCACTCCCCCCACTACCGCCAGTCCTCCCCCCGCAGTCCCCGCGCCCTCTCCCCCCGTCACCACCCCCACTCCGCCCACCACCTCCCCCTCCGCACCTGGCGCCAGTGGCAGCAACAGCAGCGGCCCTGCGTGCACGCCGTCTAGTCTGGATGGCTATACCTGCTCCGAGAAACTCAGCGGAAACGAGTGAGTGAATTCCCTTCCTTCACAGTCCAGACAGTCTCGTAATCCACCCCTCACTCGCTCTCATTCACGCATTCGCTCAAAGGCTCACTCACCTGCTCTCCCTCACTCACTCACCCTCCCCTCCCGCACTCACTCACCCTCCGCTCCCTCACTCCACCCCTCGCCCTTCCCAGCTTCGTTCTGCACTGGAAGACCAACGGTGACTCCATTGACCTGGCGTGCGAGGTGGCAACCACCGGGTGGGTCTCCCTGGGGTGGAGCGCCGACGGCAAGATGTACCCCGCTGACGCCGTTGTTGGCAACCTCCCCTCCTCCACCACCATGCGCGCCGCTAGCACCACTTCGGGCGGCGCTACAGTCGCCAGCTACAGCGTTGCTGGCTACAGTGAATCTGACGTCACTCCGGCGGCGGCGACCCTCCCGCTGGCCGCTACAGCTGTGGAGACCTCGTCCAATGGGAAGACGGTGGTGAAATTCTCGCGGAGCCTGGCCGGAGGGGATTTCCCGATTGACACGAGTGCGATGACGAATCTTATCTGGGCGTTTTCAGCTGATGGGTCCAAGACACTTGCCAATCACGGGGGCAACCGGTGAGCAAACCCATTCAGGTTTTCATCCTTTGTCTTCCCACTCCTCTGCCTCTGCCTCTTTGCCTCTGCCTCTTTGCCTCTGCCTCCTTACCTCTGCTCTGCGTCTGCCTCAGCTCTTCTCTCCCACTTCTCTACCTTCGTATCTTATTGCTCCCCTTTCTTCACTTCTCAGTCCGCTTCTCTTTTCTTCCCCCCTCCTCCCCTGCTCTTTTCCCCCTCCACAGCGGTTCTGCGGCTGTGAGTTTCGCTGCCGGCGCTGCTGCCTCATCTCCCCCATCAGGCTCGGGATCAGGCTCGGGTTTAGGCTCGCCAGCCCCCCCAACCACGCCTCCGCAGACCCCTCCTGTCCCCTCCACGCCCCCGCCAACCCCTCCTGCTGATTCGTCTGCCGGCAGTGGCAGCAGCAGCAGCAGCAGTAACAGCACTGGAAGCAGCAGCAGCTGCACTCCTTCCAGCATCGCTGGTTATGCCTGCTCGGCGAAGCTTGATGGGAACAAGTAAGCAGATCTGCATACCTACCTGTTGCACTATCCTTTCCACGTGTTTGAAGTGTAGTTTTGAGGCGTCTCAAAACAGCACTGGAAGCAGCACAGCAGCAGCTGCACTCCTTCCAGCATCGCTGGTTATGCCTGCTCGGCGAAGCTCAATGGGAACAAGTAAGCAGATCTGCATACCTACCTGTTGCACTAGTCTTTCCGGTCAATTTCGTGTCTTCAATCTGTTCTCTGTCTGTTCAGCACTCCCTCTTCCCTCCCCCCCTCTCCAGCTTCATCCTGCACTGGAAGGCCACCGGGGCCTTGCGAGGTGGCTTCATCAAACATCACCCTTGCCTGCGAGGTGGCAACCACCGCTCACTCACTCACTCACTCACTGACTCTCTCAACCCACTCTCTCCCCGTTCCTTCCCACTCTCCCCCCCCCCCCAGCTTCATCCTGCACTGGAACACCACCGGGGCAAACATCGCCTTCGCCTGCAAGGTAGCAACCACCGGGTGGGTCTCCATCACTCACTATTCACTCACTCAGTCTCTCCCTCCCTTCCCTCCTCTTCCCCCTCCGCAGCTTCGTCCTGCACTGGACCACCACTGGGGCAAACATCGCCCTGGCCTGCGAGGTGGCAACCACCGGGTGGGTCTCCCTGGGGTGGAGCGCCGACGGAAAGATGTACCCCGCTGACGCCGTCGTCGGCAACCTTCCCTCCACCACCACCATGCGCGCCGCTGCGGGCAGCGCAGCAGGCAGCGCCACTACAGTCGCCAGCTACAGCATTGCCGGCTACAGCGAGTCTGACGTCACTCCGGCGGCGGCGACCCTCCCGCTCACCGCTACAGCCGTGGAGACCTCGTCCAATGGGAAGACGGTGATCCGATTCTCCCGCGCCATGGCCAAGGGGGAGTTCCCGATGAGTGCGACCGGGCCGACCAAGGTCATCTGGGCTTACTCGGCTGATGGGTCTAAGGCCCTGGCCAATCACGGCCCCAACCGGTATGTTCTCGTATCGTTGACCACTCACCCTATGTGTTGCGGATAATGTAACAACAAAGGTCATCTGGGCTTACTCGGCTGATGGGTCTAAGGCCCTGGCCAATCATGGCCCCAACCGGTAGGTCCAAATACATCTTCTTGCCTCCTCCACAATCTCTGAGTTCAATCTTCATATGCTCGGCCAATGATGCTTTGACATTTGCAGCTTCGGGCATTGGGGTGATTACAGTGATCTGCTTTGGCTTAACCTTGGGATTGTCCCAACCTTGGGATTGTCCCGTGCACTAACCGTATGTTCCTGTCCCATCCCCACCCTGCTCTGCCCTAACAGCGGCTCTGCCACAGTCAATTTCGTCTCCGGAGCCACGGATACAAGCTCGACCTCAGGCTCGACCTCAGGCTCGACCTCAGGCTCGACCTCAGGCTCGGGTGCAACTGGGGCAGTCGACCCAGGCCAGGATACTTCCAAGGCGAGCAACAGCACCAGTGCCAGCAGCAGCGGTGGCAGCAGCAGTTGCACTCCGTCGACTATTGCTGGTTACACGTGCTCGGCTCAGCTTAGTGGCGACAAGTAAGTTTCTTTCTTCTTTTTACCTTCTCTAACGGTGGACATTACTACCTCTTTTTATAACATTAGGCATCCACTTTTTGCGAAAGAAAGCGAGTGTACCACTTTCCTCTTACCTTGGCTCTTTGTGTTACTCTCTCCCCCCCTCCTCTCTGTGTCCATTGATTCACAGGTACATTCTCCACTGGAAGGCCAACACATCAACAATCAGTTTCGCTGCTGAGGTGGCGACCTCCGGTTGGGTCTCGCTTGGGTGGAACAGCAACGGCAAAATGGAGCCGGCCGACGCAGCCATTGGCAACCTGCCACCTGGCAGCAACAGCGCAGCGGTCGGCCCGTACAGCATCACGGGATACGGCTGCGTCAGACATCTCTGCCACGTCAGCATTTGCCATGTCAGGCACCACAGTGGAGTCGGCAGCCAATGGGAAGACGGTTGTGAAATTCACGCGGCCGATGGCGGGAGGATCATACCCGATCAACACGAACGGGCCTACCACGGTCATCTGGGCTTATTCTGCTGATGGCTCTCAGACTCTCGCCAACCATGGTCCAAACTGGTGAGTCCTCTTGCCATCGTCCATTGCACTAACTTTGGGTAAGGGAGGGATCGTACCCGATCAACACAAACGGGCCTACCATGGTCATCTGGGCTTACTCTGCTGATGGCTCTCAGACTCTGGCCAACCATGGTCCCAACTGGTGAGTCCGCTTGCCCTCTCCATTCCACCTCCTCTTGTTGTGGGAGTGATTGGACCCATTCGTGTTGCCTCAGAAGCATCCCTCATGCCATTCCTCATCCCTCATGCCATTCCTCATCCCTCATGCCATTCCTCATCCCTCATGCCATTCCTCATCCCTCTCCCATCTCCCCTCGTGTTTTCTGACTTCCTACAGCGGATCCGCTCAGATCGACTTCATCTCCGGCTCAAGCGTCTCGACCTCCTCTTCCTCTTCCTCAACGGCCTTCATCATCCACGGATGGCTGCTCGGCATCGCGTTCGGAATCCTCATGCCCGCTGCTATTCTCATCTCGCGAATCTTCCTCGCCGATAAGCTCCAGGAGAAGCCGCCCGGCGTGGACCACATCCAGTGGGAGGAGCAGATTGCGCGCGCGAAATCCTGGAAGCCTATGGCTTTCGAAACGCACAAGTGGATGCAGATTGTCGCGGTTGTGCTGGCTATCGCGGGGTGCATAATCGGAATGGTTGAATCCGGTTCGGTGGGTCTGAAGGGAACCCACGGCCAGCTCGGAATCGCAATCTTTGTGATGATTTTCATCCAGCCTGTGATTGGTCACTTCCGGCCAAACAAGGGTACAGTGAATCGGCCGACGTGGTTTGTTATCCACTGGGTGTTCGGCCTGGTTATTGTCGGACTCGCTTGGGTGAACACGTTCCTTGGGTTCGACGCCATGGCGGCTAAATTCGCCTCCGACATGCAAGTGTATTTCATCATCTTCGCGATTGCGATCGGGCTATTTGCGGCGATCTACGTGGTCATCTTCACGGTGGATCAGGTGGCGTTCATTCTCGCGAAGTTGAGACCTGTAGCGGATGAAGGAAGTGGAAAGCTGGTTGATGAAGTGTAGCTTGGGATGGGTTGATGGTAGAGGGGTTTTCAATGTTGGGTTGATGGGTACGGGTACTCCTCTGTGCTATTCTTGTACGCTTACACCTAGTAGCAACCCTGTGTTGTGTGACCTTGATTTGCATTTATCCTTGAGGAATGAGAGTCATCACTCATGACATGAGAGTGTGTTGGATAGTAGACAAGTGCAGTTATTCGGACTGCCAATATCAGCACTTGGGTATAATCCCTGCATTAGAAACCTGGATCTGGACAGGGAATGGTAGGATAGACCCTTTTGCTTCCCCCCGATCATAACTGTCTTGGGAAATACACTTGCTATGAATGTCAGGCCGCCCACCATATCATACTACAAGTTCATACTGGTCATAGAAAAACACACACTAGATATGTATTTAATATGTGAAGTGTAGGTGCAAGGGCCAGTCACATGCATGGTTCGCTTACAGTTCAGGTGTTGTGAGTTTTTGTAAGGAAAATCACTTTTCCTTACTTCGCATCCCTACTCAACGTGTACATCACTGTAGCACCTCAGTCAGCACCGTTACCACTCGCGATCCTCGCATCGACAATCACCCCGCCATTTTCGCACATCGCACCCCGACCTCACGGCTCGGCTGGTAACCCGCGCTCCGGGCCTCCGCTTCGACACTTTCCCAACCTCAGTCCCAGGCCCGTCGCGCGACAACCACAGTTCGTTACCGTTACTACTGTAGTTTCGCTATATATTCTTCGCTCATGCCTTCGCTCATTGTATTCTTGCTTCGATAGTGCAATTCTCGTTCGTTCACTCAATTGCACTCGTAACACTTGTTATTCAGAGCCTACGATCTCCTCTCGGACCGCATCCACACTTTCGCTTCCCCACTATCTCAATTTTTGGGGGGGGTAGACGTCTCTCAGCGACACAGCACCGCCGCTCGTAGTGCTCTCTCGTAAGCACGCACGGCCACGACCGAGGCTCTCGCTGAGCTTGCCCGACACCCCCGCCATGACCGATTTCACGCTCGCCACATTGACGCAGGAGCAGCTTGATCGTCTCGTGCGTCAACTGGAAGATTCGGCGCTCGAAATTGCGACGCTCACGGCGGAACGTGACTCCGCCCGTCAACAATCCACGGTGAACATTCCGGCAACATCACACGGACAGACAAATGCATCTGCACAATCGGACGAGCCGATCATCATCTCGTCCGGCACACCAACACAACACGACAACATGGGACAACGCTCAGGCGCAGCTAGTGATGGCGCCGCCCAGCCGATGCCTGGCATGGGAGGAAGCAGGATCGCACCAAGCCCGCAGGAGCCCCGGGAAGCCCGTCGGCACGTGGAATTTGCGGCGACAAGTGGCGAACAGGCCATTATGGCACCAATGCCGCTCAAGCCACAGCGCCCGCCCTGCTTCGACCCAAGCCAACGCGGAGGCCCGACGGTTCAATCGTGGGTCTTCACGATGAACGTCTTCTTCGACGCAAACTACGTCGAGTCGGACGCCGCGAAAATTCGGTATGCAGTTTCGCTGCTAAGGGGCCCCGCCATGGACTGGTGGCGAGTCATCGTGACATCGCCACGCGCCTACGAGCCACCGTCGCACGAGGAAGGGCCCACGGGTCCAGCTCTCACCTGGAGTTCGTTCTACGAGACCGCCCAATACAGCACGTGGGATGCGTGGTGCACAGGGCTTTGGGCGCGCTTCGAGCCGATCGCGGCTTCGATTTCGGCGCGTTAGAGATTGCGCACTTGGCGCCAGCTCGGGTCGGTTCAAGATTATACGAGCGGTTTTCTCGCACTTTGCGAACAGGTCGGCTACATGCACGAAGCGGAGCGGGTGGACCGTTACGTCGGAGGGCTGAAGCCGGATATCTCGCACGAAATCATGCTGCTCGGACTCTCCAACTTCAACGAGATTCTCGCGCTCGCCGAGAAAATTGACATTCTACGCCGACCGAGACCGGGGTCCTACTACGGACATCGTCCTCGGGGACCGACAGAGCACGCCACTGTACACGCCGTTGCAACGAATGCAGCTGCCGCACCGTTTAAGGGGCGCTTCTTTGCTTGCAACAGGCCGGGCCATCGCAAAAGTGAATGCCCAGAGGAGCTGAGGCGCCGCGGAGCAGAGCAGGGGAGGGAGTCTAAGAGGCCGGGAAACGCCAGCAGTCAGTAGAAGTTGGGCCAACTACTGACGAGACTGCCTGCTCGCACAACCGCACCGACCCTCACCGAGTCACAGTACCGATTCACGCCATCGATCGAGCTCAGATGAATAAGGAGGGTACAGCGACGGATTGCCCAGTACTGATCTACGGGAAGATACAGGGAGCAGGAGTGAAGATTTTTATTGACGAAGGAGCAAGTTACAGTTTACTTAATACAGAACCGCACGGAAACTGCAGTTAACACTTAACCGTTGCTTACCTGAGATAGACGCACGCTTAGTCGACGGCACGCCAATGGCCATACGGGAAAAGGTGGAGCGAGTAAAAGTCCGATGCGGAGGGAACTTCGGGTTTACATAGGAAATGCTCGCAACGACACTGGATGGGCACGACATTTTACTGGGATGCGATTTGCTGCGACGGTATAACCCGCGAATTGACTGGACGACGGGTAGCTGCACAGTGCGAAGTAGTGGTAACTGGGTCGTCCTTCCTCGCTGGCGACCACCCGAGTCTTCAACGGTCCACGTCAACGCCATCACGATGAAACGGGCTGTCGCCGCTGGAGCTGACGTGTACGCAGTGGATATAGCATTAGTGGGAGAAGAGGAGCAGCCGAGCGATTTTCATAAACTGTTGGCAGCAGTACCGCCCGAACTTCAGGAACTCTTGAAACGGTACCCGGGGATTTTTCCAGACGACTTACCGCAAGGGCTGCCACCTCAGCGGGCGCATGACCATAGAATCGAGTTAGAACTGGGGGCACAGCCAACTGTACAGCGCCAGTTCAGACTGACGCAGCCCGAGCTCGACGAACTAAGGAAGCAGTTAGGTTATTTGTTAGAGAAGCAGTTTATCCGACCGAGCTCGTCACCGTTCGCCGCACCAATACTGTTCACACCGAAAAAAGACGGAGGATTTCGCATGTGCATTGATTACCGAGCGCTCAACAGAGTAATAGTCAAATCGCGATACCCCATCCCCCGCGCCGACAAACTGATCGACCAGCTGCAAACAGCACGGGTATTTTCGAAAATAGACTTACGGGGGGTTTACCATCAAATTCGGGTCGAACCATCGGACTGCGCCAAGACAGCATTTAGGACTCGGTACGGGTCATTCGAGTACACGGTGATGCCTTTCGAGATGACCAACGCGCCCGCAATATTTCAGATGACCATGAACGAGGCGTTTATGTCAGAACATATAGCTTACTTATTTGTGTAGGCTATAGTGGGGTATCCCATAGGGGGTACAACCCAATTAGGGTTTCCTATTTGTACTCACTTCGTTCACAGTCATTTCATTCTCGTTCACTTCTTCTCATGGTATCGAGCAGGTTCCCCTGTGGGAACTGTTCTTAGGGCCCACCTCCGCTACCTCGTAACTTTTTTTCTGCCCGGAGCGCGCTCCGGGCCCTCTTACTTCCTTTTTTTTCGATCTGCCCTAACGGCCCCTAGACGCCCGCGCGCCGCCCGCCCTAACGCCCGCGCGCTGCCCGCCCTAGAGCCTGAGCGCGGCCCCCCTAGAGCCTGACGGCCGCCCGCCCTAGAGCCTAAGCGCCGCCCGCCCTAGCGCCCGCGCGCTGCCCGCCCTAGAGCTCGAGCGCGGCCCGCCCTAGAGCCTGACAGCCGCCCGCCCTAGGGCCTGAGCGCCGCCCGTCGTCGCCCTAGCGCCCTAGCGCCCGACGCCCGCGAGCCGCCCGTCGCACCGCCCGTGCGCCGCCCGTGCGTCGCCCTCAGCAGCTCGACGCGCCGCCCGTGCAGCCGCCTGTGAGCTGCCTGTGCGCCGCCCGACGTACCGCCCGTGCAGCCGCCCGTGCAGCCGCCCGTGCAGCCGCCCAGCGTGAGCCGCCCGCGACCGCCCAGGCCGCCGTCCGTGAGCCGCCCGCGACCGCCCAGGCTGCCGTCCGTGAGCCGCCCGTGCAGCCGCCCTCAGCCGCCCGTGAACCGCCCGTGCAGCCGCCCGCAGCCGCCCGTGAGCCGCCCGTGCAGCCGCCCGCGAGCCGCCAGCGAGCCGCCCGTCGCGACGCCCGCATAACCCGTGCCACCCGCGTCACCCAAGCCGAACGGGCCGCCCGTGCAGCAGAACCGCCCGAGCCGCCCGTGCAGCAGACCCGCCCGAGCCGCCTGTGCCGCCCGAGCCGCCCGAGCCGCCCGAGCCGCCCGAGCCGCTCGAGCCGCCCGAGCCGCCCGCGCCGCCCCAGTCCGCTCGAGCCGCCTGAGCCGCCCGAGCAACATGAGGTGCCGAGCTCCTGCTCCTGTGGGGCTGCTGCTGCTCCTGGGCCGGCGCAGCTGCTGTGCTGCAGTGTTGCTGTGCCGCTGTGCTTCCCGACTCTTCCTGCCCGGTGAGATTGTTAGCTGCTACAATGGCCACCCCCAGTGTCCTGGCTTTTGACGCTGAGGGTCGCGCCATTGACTTTGCAGTCTGGATTGAGGACCTGCAGCTGTACTTACCGTGCGATGCGATCGATGAGGTTTCTCTCTTTGACTTTGTCTCTGGCGCTGTCCCTGCCCCTCCTGCTGATGCTGACCCCACTGTTCGCTCCAAGTGGGCCACACGCGATGCTGCTGCACGTCTAGCTGTGCGTCGCCACCTCCCTTCCTCCGAGCGTGCACACTTTAGTCAGTGCAAGACCGCTCAGGCCTTGTACGACGCTGTAGTTGCACGCTACTCCTCCCCTTCCACTGCTACACTGAGCCGCCTCATGCTACCGTACCTCTTCCCTGACCTTGCTGCCTTTCCCACAGCCACTGACCTCTTTACCCACCTTCGCGCTAGCGACACTCGCTACCGAGCTGCGCTTCCTGCTGCCTTCCTCGCCGAAAACCCCCCTCCC